GGGGCACCGAGATTGACATCACCTCGCTGCAAAAGCATCTTTACCACCCCCTGATGTCCACTCTCGGCCGCCCACGAGAGTGACGTTCGGCCCCACTCGGTGTCTGCATGGTTGGGGTTGACATCTTGTCGCTCCAAAAGCATCTTTACCATCCCATCATGCCCATTAATAGCCGCCCACAAGAGTGGTGTTCGACCGTACTTGGTGTCTACATGATCGGGGTTGACACCCTCCCGCCCCAAAAGCATCTTTACTTCCCTCTCGTGTCCGCTCTCAGCTGCCCACGAGAGCGGTGTTTGGCCATATTCGGCGTCTTCCGTATTAGGATTGACATCTTCTCGTTCCAACAACATCTTTACGACCTCCCCATGTCCTCTTCCGGCCGCCCATGTAAGAGCCGTACCCCCCATGCAATCACTCGCATTAACATCCCATTCTTTCATTTCTAACACAGCAGCAACTAGCCCTGTCACCCCCAGAAATGCTACTCCGTGGAGTCCTGTGAACCCCGTAGCTCCTTTCACGCTGCGAAAGTAAGGGCCAAATCCTCTGTCCTCATTATACAGCAATAACATTAGTTGAGCAGATATGTGCTCATCAAATCTGTCAAGAAGCCTCAGCGCAAGAATTTTTACATTTTCCGTCATCTCCCTTCTTGTGTGCTTCCCCCAGTAACAAGAAGCATATTCTAGAAGGGGCATTTTCGAGGTGGCCGAGTGAAGTGTTGGCGAAAGATCTCGGACACATGGAAAATTGAGGTACGTCAAGCAAACCTCTGCAATTGACGAGTGTGGGCAATGGAATAGGGTCGGATCACTCGAAAGATGCTCTTTCAGAGTAAAGTGCACTAGTCGGACGATGGACGAAGACGCTTCTACTATGACGAGACCCAGAGAAGACGCTAGGAGTGTCCGTAACGCGGGGACGTTTTCAGGATCCATATCTACAGATCCTATTTCGACTCCTAAGGCATGGCAGAGCTCCGCGGCCCGTAGTGGCCGTTCCGAATGCAACACCCACATTAGGACCTTCAATCCGAGTATCGATCTGTTTTCCTTCTGCGCTTTCAGTCGAACCAGAGCCGCCCTGTATGCATCGCTGAGTCCATTGCCCTTTGTCGTGTTTTCAAGTTTCTTTCTTCTCTGGCGAACTGTCACCTCTCCTAGAATTGCCTCGATGTTTAGCGAAACTAGGAGGAATCTACGCACAATCGTTGGTTAGTATACATTATTGACAGACCGGGAATGCTGCATGCCCATACTCACATATCAGATGTCCTTTCCAGGATAATTCTTATGATATCCGCGCGCAAATCATCGTTCATCGCCTCCGGCTCAGCATCCCTGTTTAGCTTCATCTCCAGATAATCCCTTATATCATCCCTGTTAGGACTGATGGGTATCACGACCGCTCCGGGGAAATATCTTTGAATATTTTCTCTAACATAAGGCCTCCCTGTGAGGAATACTCGCGTCCGAGGGGACTCTCGAACAATATCTCTGAGCAACTCAAGAAGCTCTGGTAGGTGCTTCG